CAGTTACGAGGTTGAGTGGGATAATTCTCTGATAAACCAACTCGGTGTTTGTGATATGGTTAATGTGACAACAGAATGCATCCCTGTAAGGGTCGGTATATTATAAACTAACATGTTATAAACTTAAATATCATATGACGGCCAAAGTAGTTATAGGTTCCATTCCTAGCACGATGCAAAGATTATTTAAGAGTATGATTGTTTATATTGGTGTCGTTTTTTCTATGTACATAATGTATGTATTTACAAAAACATATATTTGTATTTCAGTTGTTTACTATCCACAACACAAGCTTTACTTACCTTTGGACTAGACATTTATCCAGGGTTATTATTTTTATATACAACTCTGAATAAACTTATCGATACTGCATTTTTTAGGTATGATAATAAAATGGCGTCTCTCGTCTAGCAAGCTAGCGAGCTAGCACCAGTAGAGAATGAAAGGTGGGCATGAAATCAGGTCAGTTAGCCCATCGTGACAAATTCGCCAGGAATTTATTACGATTATTTCCAGGGTACCACGTAGAGGTTAACCTACTATGGTATATTATCCTATAGGCATCGGAGGGACGGGGATTGGTAGTAATGTGGACTCATGACCCCATTACTAGCAATGTACCAGGGGGAACCGCGTGATGAATTCCTGGTGAATTTGTCACGATGGGCTAACTGACCTGACCTCATGTTCATCCTATCATCCTCCACTGGTACCCTGCCAGCGTAAACCGTTAGCGTAGGTCGGTGCACCATTCCATTGTCATCCACTAAAAAAAAATACCATAGGCATCTATGGGATCATTAGTTCGCCATCGATGTGTGGGTAAATGGTACCTATTGATTAGATAAAAGTTCAAACTACTATTACTAATATTAACATGGACGTAAATATCTTTTAAATAATACCTTAATAACATACTGTATTTAACGAAATTGTAATTAGAGATCGTGATCTACGGCCGATAGAGAGTTTTATCCATAAAATTTTTCGCTTAGTGAAAGTGATATTTGTGTGGGTATAGACCGATGTTGCTTTTATATTTACCTTGTGATCTATTAATAAAAAAATTGTTACTATTGGAACTACGAATAGATGTAGTGCCACAAAAATAAATCGATTGTACTCTTTATAATACTTAAATAAAAAAAATATCAATATATTAACTGAGCATTGAATGCACAAGCAAAATCGATAGAAGACAAGTTTAAAGCTGGCTCTTGAGTAATTTGATTTGTAAACAATGTTTATCATTATTTGAGAAATTGTATGTGTCACAACTTTTAATATAGGACAGACTCAATTTCAGCCTATTCCCAATATAGTAATATATTTTTTATGGATGATAATGGAATAGTGCATCCACCTGCCTAATTGTTACGCTGGCGGGCCACCAACGGACGATGAAAAAATGAACATGAGATCAGGTCAGTTAGCCCATAGTGACAAATTCACCAGAAATTTATCATGTTACCAAGGGGAACCGTGTGGAGGTCAATCTGACAGGTGAATTGCTAGCTATGGGGACAATAATCTACATTACTAACCAATCCCCTTTCCCCCCAATATAGCAATGTTCTGAACTCGACTTTCGTAAGATAATTTCTAATTAAAGATTTTTAATGCCATGTAAATGTATTATAACAGAATCGATAATTATTAAATTAAATAATTAAACGGGTCATCGATGTGCAACCGAATTCGCGTCCTTGTGTCGATAAATGCCAATGCTAATGTAAGTTGCAATATAGAGGATAAAAGTCTTATATGTACGAAAATTACTTGTTCAACTAGTTCATTATTACTTTAGTATCTATCTTCAGATATTAGCAGACGTGGCGTGGGAACTGATACAGATAGTATTAGTTCATTGATATTGCAGGTGATTGCATTACGAATACATCTATATAATGAAATAATCAAGCCATATTTGATTAATGCAACAAGTTTTACAAATAAGTAGGTTGTGTAATACATGATATTTTTAAACTAGAATCTATAAATCATAAAAGTCCTATGGTAATAACAACAATGTTATATTTTTTTATTATACTAGCGGCCGGCCGCGGCTATGCACAGGTGTTCAATAAAAATTTCAAACAACACTGGCTGTCCACACTATATGTATAATCTAACTAGAAAATGAACTAATTTATAATTAAGCATAAGGATGCTGTATGAATATATCAGTTTTTTTTTTAGATTATATGCATATAGCATACAGACTTATTCTCTATAGGTATATTTCTAGACTTAGGTAGTTCTAAGTATACTTCACACTGTTTTGTAAACAAATATTGATAATAGTAGAAATTTTATATAGAATGTAGCCCACACAACTTTTTTCTAGCTATTTAAAATATTAGCAATCGTTTAAAAATAAAAGTAGGCAAATCTGATACGAAAATATTTAACATTTTCTAATTTACATCGACTCTCATTTCAAAGGGAAAGCTACGTTTTTCGTGTAGTATAAAAATATATATAAGTATTTAATTGACTTTTCTATTCGACCTTCGCATCCAATAACCTGCTTTAATAATTATCTAAATTTAGCAGGGTCGTATACTTTCCCTCTTTTTATGTTCTCATACCTCTATGATGAATGATCCGTTTGATTAATAAAATTAATCATGATCATCGGTAGTTTGATGGGGCGTTAGATACGTAATAAATATGTTAATATTTTTTGTAATATGTACTTGCTGATGGTAATAAGATAATGTATAAATTGATGTAATGACATATTACGTAACTACATTCATTCAATAAATTCTGTTTATGCTAAAGAATTTTTGTTTAAACTATATATATACCTCATATTAGATGGCAATTATATAAAGTAAAAAATAATTTCTGACCGATATTTCTAATTATCCATATCATCGAGCCATGACCACCTTCGTACGTTCCACTGCTGGTATCGGATCTCACTTATAAGGGAAACATTTAGTTTTTTTGCTACGATATAGTCTACTTTTTTAGATGAAATATAGTACTCGTGATATACTGTACGATAAATGTCATTAGGATTAGTATATTTAGGTGTAAAAAGGTAATAAACAGACAGATAGACACACGTACTTTCACATTTTTAATATTAGTATGGCAGTATGGCAGATTGGTATTGGTTATTTCCTTAACGTTAAAGTGGTTAATATTTCTTGGGGATGAAGAGGAGTAGTAAAATAATCTTATATAAGTATTCCCGTAGTAATATTATTCGAGTAACAAGTATGTGCTTCTTTTTATGTTAGAATTTTTTAAATAACATTGTTGTTGCGTAATATGAGCTTATAAGAGTATGAAAGACTTTAATTTTATTATAATCCTAGTTCTCATCAATAATTCATTTGAAAGTGTTTTGATGGTAAGTACCCGTATTGACACAGGAAACCAATTGTATTGCACGCCGTTTAAGTAATTCATTTTGACACACATATTTAAGTGTTTGTACTTTACAATTTTGTACTTTATGCAGTCTACATAGAGACTTCTATTGATGTTGTTTGCAAATTGTTTGTGATTCCTAAGAAGGTAATTTATTGTGCATAAGTTGTTAAATATATTTATAGGTATCTACTAGAGATTTATTGGGTATGTTGTCGCGGGGTGATGCTTTGCTATTATGCCAATAAATAATTAATTGTATGTATCAAATTAGAAATATATTAGCAACAGTGTAAAGGTGAAATATGCCTTCTAATTGTACTTTTACCTATCTAAGTATTACATTCCGTGTTTATTTATTGCGTTATTAATTCTGTAAATTTAAGTTTCATTATATCTTGAATTGAAATGCTGTCTGTTTCTAAAATTTTAACATTAGATTAAAATATATCATCATATTTTAAATTGAATGAAACAACTTACCACTCAAAAATGTGGAAATGTTAATTTCAATGATATAACGTATGTATAACCAGTCAATTTAAAATGAAATTAGTTATTGAATTAGGTTAGGGTACTGGTTAGGTTCGTCAAGATAAACAGATTCTAATTATATTATTAGCTAATAATTCAATTACTGCTGCTGACAAGAATCACTTTTTATTTATTTATTTTGAAACTTACAATTACTATAAAGTTGATTATGCAGTGAACCCCGCACTAGGCAATCCTGTATCGCTCTAATCTATTAGGTACTATTAGTTTGTTAATTGCATTGTCTTTCTATCAAGTTTGAATTTATATGGTTGCTTGAAAGTAATTACAACAGATTCATTTAAGATATGTAAAAAGTTGTGAATTATAATGGACCAGTTACACAAGGTATTGTATTTTATATACAACTAGCAGACCAGCAAACGTTGATTTAGTATAAATTAAATTCGTTATAAAAAATAGGATTGTTGGCGTACCATGTACTATTCTCAGATTTACTGAATATACGAAAGAATCGATCAAGCTGTTTTAGAGAAGGTTTGTTAAAAACTTAAAGATTTTGTTTTACTTCGAATTTTTATTCTGCATTTTTATTCAAAGAACGAACCTTACAACTTCCTTTGTTCACAAACAGTTTTAACCTTTTTCGTTTACAATGAAATAAAAAATAAAAAAACTAAACCACCATTAAATTACGCACCAAAGTCCTTTTTTTATTGCCAACTCTTAGCATAATCATAACATATTTATTATTGATTTCATTTAATAAATCCTTTATTAGTAAAAATAAGGGTATAAATTGATAATATATAGCAATGTATGTTTTATTAGAAATAAATATAGTTGTATATTTTTAAATTTCTTTTATTAAAAAATGTGACCATAGAAAGTAGCAAATTGAGAGCCGGTTCCAATCTAAAATTCATTAAATAAACACCAATACACCTATTTTTGATATTTTAACTGATATAAATTATGTTAATTTTCTTTAATATGGCACTACTGACCCTGTTTATGGTTTGTGGTCGAAACGTTCCGGAATCGAGCAATATGACGCTAGGGTCGTGCTTCTATGCGGAATGGCCAGCGCGCGCTGCACTTGTCGTTTGACCGTCTCTCAGACACAACACACCATAAACAACTTATAGAAAAAACGCGCGGGAAAATTATTACTAGCGACCTTGGATTTAACAGCTCAAGTGATGTTATTAATTTAATTTTTTATCTGTGCTTTTATAACTGTGGCTATATGGAATTTTGTTTTTGAAGAACTTTAAAGGAATTGTAATATCTATTGGCCCTTTTGTAATAGGTAAGTGTTATGTGTTATTGTGAATAAAAAAATAAAACAATCAATATATTTTATCAATACTGTTACTTATAACTTAGAGATAGGTTATATTCATAGCTCACAGTTTTTATTATTGTAATTATTAATATGTGATTGGAATTTATAAATTATCTTATTCTTTATGAAATTTTATATAATATAATTATATAGGTAAATATTATACAATATCCTAATATTGTACTGTATATAATATATAGTTAGAATTGTAGCAATATTTTTTTTACAATATCAAGCATTATATAAAAGCGTTGATTAAGCCATTAATCGTAGTTCATATAAATGTTTGCGTAACTATCTATGAAGTGTTTTGCGGTTGATTTAATGAAAATTAATGGCAATTACAGAATTTATTATATCAATTCATAACAGTAAAATATCATAATTTTGTAACTTTCAATATGTTTAATATATGTAATATAGTAATTAATATTACATATATGTATATTATACATAGGTATATTCAAATAATATATATATACAACTACTATTAGTTTATTACTAATAATAGTTGTGTATATATTATTTAATAATATTGAATATAATATTCAATAACATTCCGAATGAAATGTGATCAAAATTGACTATTGATAATACCTCTGAATTCCCTATCTGGAATAACTGTCATCACGGTATATTTTTTGTTTTCTGTTAATATTATATACATATTTCACAAATGCAATGTGGGATTAATTATAATAACTAGTTGCGATAATTACATCGTTACTAATTTTTATAAATGACAAAGTGTATTTTTTTGACTTATCGAAGACACAGACTATTGTAATATGCGTTGGGTATCTTTTATTTCAAAATAAACTGAAGGGAAGAGAAATCAGGGATGAGCTGTGTAAACAAAACAGTAACTGCTATTTCTGTCGATTGTAATTAGCTCTGAATACTATTCAGTGTGTTCATTTATTAATATTTTTATTAGGGATTTGATATATTTTAACAAACTCAATTAATATTAAAATTAGATTTGTATTCAACAATCTGTACTTATATATATATAAGATAATAAAGCTAAATGATCGCTGTCGCTACATGGAAGTTATATGAACGGCTATTATTGGGAAACAATGGTTGATTGAATTTTTGTCTGTGCGTTTGTGCGCGATAAGCTTAGAACAGATTTGATTGCCGTTTTCTCTAATATTTTCTGATAAAATACACTTTAGTGTTAGTTTTAATTCAATCGGTTTAAATATAAAAGGGTTATATGCAAATAGCAAATATGACGGTAATTGCGAAAAAAACCGTGGTTTCAGTAAAAGTTCAGTCAAATATATCTGTAACTTATATGTAAACAACTAGGTATAAAATATAGTGTATTCTTCAAATACTTATGAAACAAAAGTTAAAGGTGTTAAACTTCTTAAGACAGAGTGCCGTCTTCGAGAAAATGATTTGTACACTAATAACTTTATTGACGGAAATTTATAACCCCTTGTCAGTTGGTGTGTACGTCCGACACTTTATACTCTCGGAAGCTTGTTAGTATATATTCGCTAGTTTTATGAAGTTGCTAATTATGAAAGTATTATTTCTTATAATTAAAAACAGTAGACAGAAAATGTAAGAGATTTCTGTATATTGAAGTAGTCCAACTAAATCCTTCATAATTTTCCATTTATATTAAAATAAATTTAGATTCATGTTTAAGAACCTACCTCCAAATTGCAATGTCATTGGTTTTTATATTTTCTTAATTAATAAGAGCTTTTATAATGATGAACGTCTTTGCGCGCACGAACCAGTTATACTGGTATACTTATAGATCCATTTAAATCACAAAATTATTTGAAATAACTAATATGTTCATTAACAGACATATATACGATGCTGACTGTTTTTTGATTACTTTTGTTCGAATAGTATTTAATTCTGAAAGCATTTATCTCATACCTTTTTATTTGAAATAAAAAAAATTAAAGCTAAATCAAATACATAATAACATTATACACACTAAGTATATCTGAAAATACAAGTTTACTTTGTACGAACTTATTGAATTCAATTCTATCATTTATTTCTGTTCGACCTGTGAAAGTGATGCCTAATGTGATTTCGTCATTGCGTAATTTATTTCACTAACTATAAATTAACATAAAACATCACCGTGGGGTCTAATGTTTAAACTATTTCCATTAAAATTTTTGTTGAATGTTTTAAAAGTCACGCTAGGTCGATGATTTATAATTGCCGGGCCCTGAGAAAGGGGTAACGTGTTTTTTCATTGTGTAAGCTGTGTTTTACGTTTTTATGAAGCACATTGTTCTAGCCTATTGGTTATGTTTAGCTTGTTTTTGTACGATTAACTTAACTGTAATATTCATTATATAATTTCTTAATTCACGGAGAATAAAGTAATTATGAGATTACAATAGTTTTTATCGGTTATTGTTTTCTGTTACATTGTATTAGATAAATAGATAAGTAGAGGAGATTACATATAGAAATTAAAAATTTGCGAAAATAATACAATTATTCATACTAATACAATATTATTAACTAATTCAAAGTCTAGCTATCTGTCTACCTTTTCACGACAAAACGGCTGAATGGAACGTAATTATTTTATTATTATTTTACTCGTATACCTCTGAATAAATTTCCCGGGAAGATCACTCTCTTGTAGATGATAGATCTCTTGTGATGTATGTAGAATCCGGAAATCATTAAGCGATGTTGAACATCTGCCAGTAAATGTCCTTACACCGTGAGTATTGTGAAATGAAATCATTGAAATTATTTGTTGGCAGTGGTATTTACAAAGATTGAAATTTACATGTTTTAGGCAGTACTAATATTCAGTCTATATGATTTTTTTTCTATGTTATATCACCATATTTTATTTTATATTCTACTAACTGTAGTTAAAATATTATCTAAAATGATATCCCTATATTCCGCTATAGTCAGCACATGGCTGGTCCAACGTAATTGAAACGTCTAGTGAAGTTCATATTTTATTAAAAATTAATTTAAATTAGCTAAAGTAATTAGTAACAATAGTAAAATTAATGATGTGTATAAATATAATAAAGGTAAACTTCACACACATTTTCCTCGTGACGATGAAGAAGCTAATGATATTAGAATAGCACTACAAACATCAAGTGTTCATGTAAATCCCTCTCATTCGTTGCCATTCTGGAGTACTAAGTTGTCATACATGTTCTCTGCCGTATCTCACCCTTCAACCGAAACCCAGCAAGCTGCTTAGAATTGAGTGCCCACACAGCCGACTTTATAAAAAGATCTCGGTAAATGCATGTTTATTATTCTTTCTAAATTCCCCCCACGTTCTATTGTGCATATTGTGAAGTATAGATTTACATGTAGGAGTAAACACTTCCAGTTCTGACTGATTTATTACTATTAATATAGTCATGTGGGTTAATACTATAAAATTTTTTTGATTGCTTATTTATAATTGTATTCGTGTTCTGCAGAATGACCAATAATAATAATTATCGGTAATTTAATGTTCCTAAGTTCACGTTTTTATGTTTATTTCCTTCAAAATAAGATGTTAGTTCTACCTTTATTTTAATTTCATTCAATTAAATTCGCCCAATATTGAGTAACAAATCCCAACATCTTTATAAACTTTCACATTTATAATATTTAGTTGAATTGAAATGCAAATATACCAATTTATATTAATGGAAATACAAGTGGATATCTGCGGTAAGAACCGACCTGATTATAGAAAACTACGCTTTCTAACAATGTATAAAATAGCTTGTTAGACATAAAAGCTCGCAATATTGAAATAAAGTTAATATTTGTACCTATTGTCTTTGAAACTCATGATCTCAATTTTGTTTTTTTTTAGTGATAATGCTAAAATTAATTGAAGAACATTATAATTATATTATGAATAATCAAAACATAAACTTAGCTATTAATAAGTGTGCACGCATTTAAAGTAAATTATTGGTTATTTTGTTACTAATATATATTTATATTCTTTATTGCACTCAAAACTAATTACGAGATAATTTGAGCAATTATCTGTAAAAGAGATCTATTCCAGTCAACTCAACACAGCGTGGCACTGCTTGTGAATGAATAACAATATTACATGTAACATTTAGAAGTCAAAATATATTTAATAATAATATGTTATATAATATTTTTAAAGAATTTTAATTATGTAATATTATGTTATCTGTGATTATACTAAAAGATTTGTAGAACAATGTTTATAGGAATATTCGTTACTGTGTTGTTTAATTACACTAATTCAATAAATATTTTAAATATATTGCCTACTATTGTATTTTACACAGCCATATTCTTTTGACCTACATTTACCAAAGTTCAAAAATAACTATAGAAATTTTGTTACCTACACACCCATCTAAATCGAAAACTAAAAGAAAGTGAATTTTTTTAGTAATTCATAAATATACATATTGAATATTTATCGTCTTGTACGAACATAACTTGTGTCAAAACGGAACGAATTAAATATGTAAATTTTTACATATGCAGGTTTTCTATTCGACGTATCATCTAAGTCTACCACTATGATTTAGCCGATAGCAAGAAAATGAGATGGTAACATTTAAAATAATAATGTATGGTATACGAAGTGTTTCTATGAAATATTTTAATGAAGTGTATTTTTAATAGATAAATATCTATATAAATGATCTCTAAACAATTGCTTTTCCCGTTGTATGTTGATTTCTTTAAAAATTATTATTGAAGTAGTGTTATTAAGTAGTACCTATATCAGTATTACAAATAGAAAAATAATCTAAAATATAGGTATTTGCAATTGCAATAGTCACACCTACACCTACTATAATTAAGAATGATTATGATTATATATACTATAATTAAGAACCAAAAATGTCAAAAAGTAAAACTGGTAATAATTTAGATACGATTCGTTTTTCTGACTTAAGTATTAAATGGAAGTCATAATCGAGATTTTAATTTAATTT